CCACACACTCAAACACCCAGGGACTCTCACAGGCACCCAGGATGGGTGGTGTTGGCCACACTGACTCCCCACAACCTGCCCTTGGGTCAAGAGCCCTTACGGATGACGTCATCTCCGAACTGGTGCTGGGCGATGTGCTGGAAGAGGGTGGTGAGGACCGGCAACAGCGCCACGGTGGTGTAGGTGAGGTTCTGGCCCACGCCCTTCACCTGGGTGCGCGCCTGTGACACCTTGCCCAGCCGCAGGTTCTCCACCATCTTCTCGATGTCCTCCGAGGCACTCTCGAAGAAGGAGCGGAGGCCAGCCTTCACGATCTCAGGGCCTGACTTCATCACCGTCCTAGAAGGGCAGCAGGGGAACACCAGCTCTGGAATCGGACAGTCTAGGAGACCAGGGGTTGGGGTGGGGGCCCGATGACGGTGGGAGTGGGTGCCACTGCCCATGGCCCTACCTGGCATCCAGGGAGCGGGCCAGGATGTGAAGACAGTTAACTACAGCCGGGGCATCCGTCCCTGGGAGAGGAAGACGGGCCGGGGAGATGGCATGGCTAAGAGGACAGAGGACAGTGCCTCCCTCTACATCCACCCCAACCCCTCTCTTCCTGAGGCTACCCGCAGGCTATGTTGGAATGCTATTGCACCCCCACCCCGCCTGGACTCCTACAGTGCCCCCAAACTTCCCTCCTCCCCAGCCCGACCACTCTCCTGGCCTTCTTCCTGCCCAGCCCTGACCCCACTGGGCTGTCCTTGTCTGGAGATGGGTCTGTCTCTCCCACTGGCCTGGGAGTCCCATTGACGGCAGGCCCAGGGTGTCTCAGTCACTGCCCTGCCCCCGGGATACCCGGTCCGTGTCTCCGGGTCCAGAGGAAGAACACAACAAAGCTTGTTCAAATTAAGGCAGAACCTGGGAGCTATTTCTTCAGGGTGGAGAAGAGAGAGATTAGGGAGGAAGACCAAGGGAGTGGAACCACTTACCAAAGAGAGAGACTCGGTGGCGGACAAGAGCAGCAAGTTTGCAGAAGAGGCTGAAGAAAGAGAAAGGGACAGAGGGCAGGAGAAACAGCAAGTGAGGAGACCAAGGAGACGAGGAAAGGGTGACCCAATTAGAGGAGACAGGGACAGAGAAGACAAGGAGAGAGGAACCAGGAGGGGGCCGAATGATGGAGACAGGAGGGATAGGAAGGGGCAGAGAGATGGGCAAGCTGGTAAGTCATAGGCAGTAACTGGGATGCTGGGGAGGTGAGGGGCAAGTCGGCCTTTCTTATTATTCTTTGTTTGTTTATTTTTTTTGAGACAGGGTCTTGCTCTGTCACCCAGGCTGGAGTGCAGTGGCGCGATCCCAGCTCCCGGCAGCCTCCAGCCCCTGGGTTCAAGCGATCCTCCCACCTCAGCCTCCCGAGTAGCTGGGACTACAGGCATGCGCCACCACGCCCAGCTAATTTTTGTATTTTCTGTAGAAATGGGGTCTCGGTATGTTACCCAGACTGGCCTCAAACTCCTGGCTTCAGCTGATCTTCCCACCTCAGCTTCCCAAAGTATTAGAATTACAGGTGTGAGCCACCATGCCCGGCCTTGAGTTGGCCTTCCTGGACAGGGTGATTGATTTGTCCCAAGTTGTCTGAGAGTCCCACATTCTGGGAAGCCCTTCAGTCCTGGGCACACTAGGATGGCTGGTCACCATAGCCCTTCAGTTGCCTCTGCAGGAGACGGTCAGTACCCAACACCCAGCACCCAGGACAGAGCCTCCACGGGCGAAGGATTACAATACTGTGGGGTCAGGGGGCTGGGTCCAGGGTCACAGGCAGCCCACCTGGTGATCATTTCCTTCTCCTTGTTGGAGGCGTGGCCGCCACTGCCCAGCACTTTAGCAGGAGTGGACAAGAAATAGAGGCAGTGGTTGGTGAAGTACTGGTTGATCAAAGGGAGCAGGATCTGGAGATGGGGTGGTGGGGAGGAGATAAAGCGTCCGGTGAGGGGTGGGGAGAGCCCATGAGTCCCCAGCCCTCCTCTAGCTTCTAAGCCCACCTCTCACCTTGGCAAAGAATTTAATCTCCTGTTCATGTGGGGACTTTTCCACTCGCCCACTGCTGACCACAGCCTCTGTAGGGAGAGCAAACAGGGTTCATGGTGGGTTTAAGGCTGGAGAACCCAGGGTGTTCTGATGGGCAGGATGCTAGGAGCAGAGTTGGGAAATGATGGGGAATAAATTATTGGTAGGAAGTCATTTGTGTTGACTTTGAGATAAACCTTTCTCCTACTTTTCATCTGATTCCCCCAACTCCTTTTTTTTTTTTTTTTTTTGAGACAGAGTTTCACTCTTGTCACCCAGGCTGGAGTGCAATGGCACCATCTCGGCTCACTGCACTCTCTGCCTCCTGAGTTCAAGCGATTCTCCTGACTCAGCCTCCTAAGTAGCTGGGATTACAGGCGTGCACCACCACACCCAGCTAATTTTTGTATTTTTAGTACAGCCAAGTACACCATGTTGTCCAGGCTGGTCTCAAACTTCTGACCTCAGGTGATCCACCCGCCTCAGCCTCCCAAAGTGCTTTCCCCTAACTTCTTGATTAAACCCTTCCTGAAGCTGACAACTCCTTGATCAAACCCTTTCTGAAGCTGACGATGGGGAAAACAAACTGGAATGGGTTAAAGTCCTGGAATATGCCCTTCCTCACCCACCACAGGTGCTTTTCATTCTGAACTTGAATACATGGCACTGAGTTAATCTGCAACAAATGAATGAATGAACCAAATGAAACAAGAAGTCAATGTAAACAAATTAGAGTTAATTTTAAAATGGAAATCAATTTCAAACAATAATAATGGTGATAGTCGTAACTGATTCTATTAAAATAATAATACTGGCTCCAATTATTAAACACTTGCTATGGCCTTGGCACTGTGAGACATGTCATCCTCACACAGTCTCCTTACAACTTGGAGGTCTGTGCAGTTGGTTCCCAGCCCCCATTTTTCAGAAGAGGAAACGGAGGTGAAGTAACTGACCCCAGGTCAGTAAGTGACAGAACCATGGCTAGTTATGGCGAACATAGGCTCATATCACAGGTGAGGAATCAGAGGTCTAGAGAGGGAAGGGAATTGTCAAGGGGATGTGCAGCACTGAAGCTAGGCAGGCAGGCTTTGAGGCGAGACGTGACAGCGAATCCTGCTCTGCCACTCACCTGGAGGGAATTTGGGGTTCCTGAGGGCAGCTCTCAAGGGCAATGCTGGAGGGGGGTCTCTAGGGAAACTAGAGGGGATTGCAGGGCCTAGCTGTAATTCTTAGTGGTCTGTAAGAGGCATTGGGAGCATCCCAACAAGCTCAGCCTTCAAAATGGATCCAGAAATCTGCCCTGTTCTCACCCTTTTTGCCTCCTGTCTCCACCCCAGTCAAGCCAGAGGGACCCCGTGAACACCAGAATTATGGATCACGTCCATCCTCGGCTCAGCCCTCAAACCCCAACTCCATCTCACTCCAGATAAAGGTCAAAGTCCTCATCACAGCTAGCAAAGCCCTGCATGATCTGCCCCAGTCACCTGTGACCCCGTTTATCTCTGTCCCCCTCGATGACTCTGCTTCAGCTACAGGGCATCCTGACACTCACACCAAGGACCTCTCAGGGCCTTCGCACTCACTGTTCCTTTGCCTGTGAGGAACAGATGTCTCCCAGAGGTCCACACAGCTCCTCCCTCACCTCCTTCATGGCTTGCCTCAGATGTCACTTTCTCATCAAAGTCTTTCCGGAACACCCTATTTAAAATGACAACTGGCTCCACACTCCCAATCCCCTCTACCTGGCTCTATTGTTTTCTTCTTCCCATGACACTGATCACCTTCTAACACTAAATGATTTCGTTATTTATGATGCTAATTGCCTGAAGCCAACACAGGAGTAGTTGCAGGGAAGTAGGGTTCATTTGTCATCTTCACTGCTGTACCCCAGCATCTAGAACAGTGTCTGGCACATAGTAGAAGCTCAATAAACATCAGATAAGGGGAGGAGGGATTGAGTGCAGGAACGGGTGTCCTAGGTGAGTCTGGTCTGCAGAACCGGTGTCTGCAGGTGGGGCGGGCATAAGGGGGGGATTTCTCCCTACCCAGGTGGGCAATGAACTCCTGAGAAATGTCCATCCAGCGCAGCAGCTGCTGCAGGAAGCCAAAGGCAAACCGCTTTTCAATGGAAGATGAGTCCAGTTCCATGTCCTTAAGGCCTCTGGAGATGTGGAGAGAGGGATCAGCCCAGACACCGGCCCTACAGTTTCCCACCCTTCTCAGATCCGTCTCTGCTCCTGCTGGCCACATCTGTATCAGCTTTGGCGTCACCCCAGGTTGGGGCTCCACTCTGAGCCCCCCATGCCCCACCCCACTTAGCCTTCTCCCCTCTCTGGCGCCGCCTCTGCTCCCAGGCCCCGCCCCCTCAGCCACCTCCCCTTTGGCCCCACCTCTGTTCCCCAGGCCCTGCCCTTCTCAGCCTTCTCTCCTCTTTGGTCCCGCCTCCACTCACCGGTCCCCGCCCCTCTTAGTCTCCTCCACTCTCTGGCCACGCCTCTGCTCCCTGGGCCCCGCCCTTTTCTGCCTCCTCTCCTCTCTGGTTCCGCCTCTGCTCCTTAAGCCCCGCCCCACCCATTTCGGACTCCTCCCCATCTGGCCCCGCCTCTGTGTCCAGGACCCACTCCCTTAGCTCCTCCCCTCTGGTTCCTTCTTTGCTCCCCAGGCCCCGCTCCTCTCGGTTCCACCCCTCTCTGGCCCCGCCTCTCCCAGCCTTTGCCGGGTGGGTTCCGCCTGCTGCTCTTCCGCGGGCGTCCCAACCCGCGTGCCTTGTAACCGCGTAGCCATTCATCTGCAGGAATTTCAGCAGCTCCTGGGCCTTCTCTCGATCTCGTGCCTTCTCCTTGGCTGTTAGCGTGTCGTAGGGGACCAGCAGGGGGTGGGTCCCACCGCCTGGGGAGGCAAAGATCAGAAATTAGGGCTCTGGGGAAGACCCGGGCCACCCTCACTGAAGTGGTTCCTGCAGTGCCCAGCATGCGTAATTATAGTAATAAAGACGAAGATACGAATAACGGAAACATTGCTTGCTGGTGCTCATCTCATTACCCCACGGTGGTAAACGCTGTTATTATTCCCATCTACAGATGGAGAAACCGAGTTTCAGGGGCATGAAGGCAATCAGTAAAGCCACACGGTGAAGCCACGGGGGTCGCCTGGGGGCGGCATGGGCGTCCTCACCTTTGGCTTCCAGCTCCTGCTTCTTCTTCCTTCCCCACGTGTTGTGGTAATTTTCCGCCAGTTGTTCTGCCATGGCCTGGGAGTGGATGCAGAGTTAACGGGTAGATTCAGAGGATGCCAGCCCCCCCAAAGACACCCCATGTCCCCCCAAAAGGATCAGGGCTCTCACCTGCAGCTCCCGGGACAGGGTAACTGCGCTAAGGTCGGGGGGCTGGGGGTTGTAGCCTTCTCGAGGATCGTAGGTCTAAGAGGACAAGGGGAATATGGGAGGTAGGTTGATGGGCTAGCAGAAAGCCCAGGCTAGCCCCCTCCCCAGGCCCCCACTAGTGCATTCTACTCCCTCCGCCCTCCCCTGGCTCAAGACCCCGTGTCCTCTCCTTAAGGCCCTGTGTCTAAACCACCCCATCCTTCTCTCCTCTGCCCTTTGCAATTATTCAGACCCCTGCCCTCTCCTTTCCCAGATCTCAAGTTTCTGCACCCCTCTCTGGCCCCACCTACCTCCCTGGGCCCCTCTCCTCTCCATTCCATCCCTGTCTGGCCACGCCCTCTCCTGGCCCTTTGTTTTAGACCCTCCCTGCCTCGTGCCCCTGCCCTCCGCCCAGGGGCATTTTGTGATATCTTCCGCCTTCACCTGGGCACTTTGTGATATCTTCCGCGTTTTTTTCTTTTCCGTCTTCTCCTCCTCACCCTCCCTGGCCTTCTCTATGGTCCATTCCCAGGCAATCATGGCCTTCAGGGACTCCTTGATGGGCCAGCGGTAAATCTCTTTGTCCTAGGGTGGACAGGAGGGTGGGGAGTTGGTGGAATGGAGTGAGAGGTGGGTGGAGGAAGGACCCCAAAGGAGAAAACCCTGACCACGTGGCTAGGCAGTGGTCCAGTCTGGATTCCAACTCAAGTCTCTTACCTGCTCTGTAACAGAGCCTCCCAAACCCAATCTCCTTATCCCATTAGACACACGAGTCTCTGAGAATTTTTTTTTTTTTTTTTGAGACGGAGTCTCCCTCTGTCACCCAGCCTAGAGTACAGTGGCACGATCTTGGCTCACTGCCAGCTTCTCCTCCCAGGTTCATGCCATTCTCCTGCCTCAGCCTCCCGAGTAGCTGGGACTACAGGCGCCCGCCACCACATCCAGCTAATTTTTTGTATTTTTAGTAGAGACGGGGTTTCACAGTGTTAGCCAGGATGGTCATCTCCTGACCTCGTGATCCGCCCGCCTCAGCTTCCCAAAGTGTTGGGATTACAGGCGTGAGCCACTGCGCCCGGCTCCAAGAAGTCTTACTACAGCCAAGGAATCAAACCCATTCTCTCAGACTCTCTACCCGCTCTACCAAGTTTGAGAGAAGGCAAAGTCCAGGAATGACGAGACCTAATCCACAGATCCACCTGGATGCAAACCTGTGAACCTTCCTCACTTTGCCCTGAACACTCAAATTTGGGCTTTCATTTTGACTCCCAATGCTGGGCCTCAAGGCCTGGTCACCTTCTCTGAAAAGGTCTTGTAGGGCCTCAGCATGGGGTGGGTCTTCAACTCCTCATCTATGTTCTCTCCATAGGACCAGTTGTTCTGGATCTAGAGATGGAGAGGAGGCAGGGTGACGGGGAGGCAGCAGTTGGGGACACATAGGGGGGACCCTGGAGGAGCCGAGGACAGAGAATCCTGGGGGATCCCAGAAAAAGCTAAGGGTCTTAGGGAAGGCTGGGGGGTCTCAGGGAGATCTGGGGCCTCAGGGAGGAACCGGGTCAGGGGGAAAGCTGGGGTCTTGAGGGTTTCTAGGATAGGAGGACCCTGAGGCCAACCTTGTCGAAGGCCCACTTCTCATGTGTATACTCCGCAAACTTGTTAATGAAGGAGTCCAGCTTCTCCGGGATGATCACACTGTGGGGGGCATAGGGTCAGCAGATGTTGGGACTGGGGTTCCCTCCACCCCTGAAATCTTCCTCTCTGTCTCCCAGCCCCCAGGCCTCACTTGAGGGTTTCCACAGGCCGGGGATCAAAGTTGCCTTCAGCATCCACTGTGGCCTTTTTCTCCGCCTTAGATGAGTATGAGGCGTCCACGTAGTCGGGGGGCAGAGCCCCAGCGATGGCACACAGACAAGGCATGGCCATTCGGTAAAGCTCCGGGTCGTATTTCTGGGAAGGCCGGGAGGAGCAGGGGTAGGAGGTCACTATAAGCCTCAGTGAGCCTCGGGACCTCAAACTCACACACTGCAATAATCAGCCCTTCTCCCTGAACCCCCAAACCTGAATTATGGTCCCTCTCCTTGAAACCCAAATCTCAGACCCAACTGTAAGCTCAAATCATCCCCATATTACCCTCTCCAAGTTCCCAAACTAGAGGCCCACCCCCTTTTCCATAACCTCCACGCTGAAGCCTCAACCCATAGATCCTCCTAGATCCAAACATGCAGAACCCTCTCATCCTTGAACCCTCCAAAATTGGGGGGTTTCGCTCTGGACTCCCAATTTTGGGCCCCAAACCCTCCACATAGGCCATTTTGGGGCTCCCTGCTGCCCAGACCTTATGGGCCAGAGAGTCAAAGATGCCCCAGAAGAGTTTCCGGGTGAGGTGCAGCTCCTCCTCCGAGGTGACCCCGAAGTTGGCCCAGCCTGTGGGTAGGCAGTAGTACTTCCAACAACGCTCATAGTGGTTGGTGAGGAGCTGGGAGCAAGAGGGGGACACACAAATGAAAGGGGGAACCAGCGGATGGCAGGCAGATGAAGGCCCAGAGAGAGACAAGCATGCCAGTGCTTTTAAATTATGAAGGAGGTGTGGGTTATGCAAATGATATGCTAATAAGGGAAGAAATGGTATGTTTTTTGAGGAGTGGTCTTAGACAGCTTAGTATGCAAATTTAGCATTCTTAATTTAGAGTTAAGATGGGCATTAAACTAGAGCTGGTTGTGTCTGGTGTTGCTTTACACAAATAAGCGTGCTAATATTAATCCGTGGGTACGTAGTGAGTAAATGGGCATATGGATGCGGCAATCTGTGCTTATGCAAATTAACATATCAAGTAGAAACAAAAGCTGCACCCCATGCAAATATATGGTAATCGGGAGGAGGGCCTCCACTATCCAAGATGCAAAGTTTTTTTTGTTTTTTTTGTTTTTTGAGGTGGAGTCTCTGTCGACCAGGCTGGAGTGCAGTGGCACAATCTCGGCTCACTGCAACCTCCGCCTCCCAGGTTCAAGCAATTCTCCAGCCTCAGCCTCCAGAGTAGCTGGGATTACAGGTGTGCTCCACCACGCCCAGCTCATTTTTGTATTTTTAGTAGAGACCGGGTTTCACCATGTTGGCCAGGCTGGTCTCGAACGCCTGACCTCAAGTAATCTGCCCACCTCTGCCTCCCAAAGTGTTGGGATTACAGGCGTGAGCCACCGCGCCTGACTAAAATGCAAATTTGAAATACGAGCTGATTTCGATGTATTATGCAAAATAGTCAAGCTATCTTGAGTTGGGGTAGCTCTTTATGCAAATTAGCATGCAAATAAAAAAATAAGAAAGACAGTGTGCAAATATTCAGAATAGCTGTGGTAATGTTTATTCAAATAAATGCACTCATTTGAATAGTGGAAGTCTGGTGGTCCAGGCATGCAAATAAACATGCTAATTAGGGAAAGTGGTGTGTTCCATGCAAATATATGCTAACTGAAGCGGGGGCTGGCTCACTGTTAAGCAAATTAAACGCTAATTAGGGAACGCTAGAGGCATCAATGAAGCAAAGTGAATGTTCTGGGAATCCTAGTATGCAAATAAGGATGCTAAGAGGTTTCTATGGGGACGCCGTCCTAACTAGTGCAGGTTAACTGGGCTGGGCAGCGCTGACACAAATGAGCCCCGCAGTCGGAGGGAAGAGCAAACCAGTGTGGGCGCGGCCTGGAAACAAACCGCTAAAGATCGCTTGTCCTTACCTTGAGTGGCATCTTGGCAAACTCGTTTAAGATGGGCACGTCGAACACCAGACGCCGCAGCAGGTGCTGGAGCATCGACGGGCGGATGTACCTGCGCGACAGCGCACAGGATGGTGGGACCTCCCCTCTAGGCCTGCTCTGCGGCCCCGCCCCTGCCCCCGCCCCGTCCTGGGGCCCGCCCCACCCCACCTGCAGAGAGCCATGAGGCAGTCCTCGATGACGTCGCGCTGCGCCTTGGTGAGCGAGCGACCCCGGGACAGGCGGTACACCGTGTGCAGCATGGAGTCCACCATGATGGCGCGGTGTTCCGTGCCCGCAAAGAGCGGCGCGCACTTGGTGATGAGAGGCAGCACGGCCAGGCACAGGTAGCGGTTCAGCGCCAGTGCCATCTCGGTGGTGCTGAAAGTGGCCTAGGGCGCAGAGGGAGGACATCAGGCCCGCTGAACACCCCCGGGGCTGCTCTGGCACCTGCCCTGAGCTACTCTGGCCAAAGGATCCAAGCTTCTGATCACTCCCCCAAAACCTGCTTCTCTCAATCTCTACCACCCTCCTCCCACCCTATGCCCATGCCCCTACGCCCACAGTCCCTACCCCACCACTTACTACTTTGGCCTATGCAAAATTTCAAACACACACAACTGGTCGATGAGATTAATGAACCCCATTACAGATTTGGCTCTTCCGTAAATATGGATGGTCTGCACACTTATCTGCTCTCTAAGCCTCACCTTTCTTCCTGTAATACGTTCTTTTCCATTTGTTAGAGACAGCGGTCTCTGTTGCCCAGGCTGGAGTGCAGTGGTGCAATCATAGCTTCCTGCAGCCTCGAATTCCTGGGCTCTGGTGATCCTCCTGCCTCAGCCTCACTAGTAGCTAGGACTACAGGGACGCACCTCCATGCCTGGCTAATTTCTTTTTCTTTTTTTTTGAGATAAGGTCTGGCTCTGTTGCCCAGGCAGGAATGCAGCGGTGTAATCACGGTTCACTGCAGCCTCAAAGTCTGTGCGTCAAGTGATTCTCCCACCTCAGCCTCTCTAGTAGCAGAGACTACAGGTGTGCACCACCATACCCGGCTAATATTTAAATTTTTTTGTAGAGACAGGGTCTCTCCATGTTGCCCAGGCTGGTCTCGAACTCCTGGCTTCAAGCGAACCGCCCGCCTTGGCCTCCCAAAGTTATTACAAGGGTGAGCCACCATGCACAGCCCCAGGCTCTCTTAAACCCTCTCTAGGAAGGCTTCTGTCCCCTGCTGAAACTGTTTATCCCAGTTTCCAGTGACCTTGACTTTGCTAAATTGGTGATCACTTCTCAGTGCTCATTTTCCTTGCCCTATCACCCTTCTGTTATTGCTGTTCCTGTATAGAGTTCTGTGTGTCCACAGTGCCAAACCAACATTGTGAACGAATTTTTTTTTTTTTTAAGTTGGAGTCTCGCTCTGTCACCAGGCTGGAGTGCAGCAGCGTGATCTCAGCTCACTGCAACCTCACCTCCCGGGTTCAAGCAATTCTCCTGCCTCAGTCTCCTGAGTAGCTGGGATTACAGGCGTGCGCCACCACGCCTGACTAATTTTTGTATTTTTAGTAGAGATGTGGTTTCACCATGTTGGTCAGGCTGGTTTCGAACTCCTGACCTTGTGATCTGCCTGCCTCGGCCCCACAAAGTGCTGGGATTACAGGCGTGAGCCACCGCGCCTGGCCTCGAACAATGATTTCTATTTCTTATAACTGGAGGTCGTGGAGATTCCTACTCACCCTTCATTGGAATTCAGAGTGTTTCTTGGTTTTCATTTTCTATCTTTATGATGGTATCGGGGATTATGGTATGTCCACAATCCCAAGAAAAGCAAAAGCAGCTGCTGCTGCTCCACCGTGACCCATCTCCTGTCCCTCTGTGGAGGTGGGGAGGGTGGCCAGGCTGGGCGGGGCTGCTCACCGTGTCCAGCGAGGCGGCTGCCCTCATGTCGGGCAGGAATCCCACGTCCAGCACGTGCAGCAAGAAGTCCTGGTTCTCAATGCCGTACACACGGTCCAGGAAGAGCACCATGGACGCCTTGTGGTCCGGCACGAAGGATGCTGACATCTTTGGCTGCACCAGAGCCCCGTCTGCAGGCAGGAAGGGCGGGTTCGGGGATGCCCTGCGGACCCGGCAGCTCCCTCCCCAGCGTCACTCCTTTGCCAAGTTCCATCCCCTCCGCACCTTTGCCCAGGGTGGGCATCTGCAGTGGGAGGCTGATGATGCCCACGAGGTCCTCCAAGGGCACAAGGGAGCGGAGGATGGCACGGATCCGCAGGGCCTCACCCTTGCAGGCTTGGATTAGCTGGGGAACGTAGGGAGGGAGAGGGGCACTCATCAGGCACTGGTGCCCCGCTCAGTGACTGCTCCGCTCCCTCCCTTCCCATACAGGAGGGTAGAGCAGGCCTCTTTCAGCGGGCTGTCTAGGGTTTCCAGCCCTCATTCCTCTGCCTGTGCCCCCCGACCCCAGCCCTGAACCCTCTCCCTGTGCCCCCCCATCCCCATCCTGACCCCTCTGCTTGTGCCCCCCGACCCCAGTCCTGACCTCTCTCCCTGTGTCCCCATCCCCATCCTGACCCCTCTGCTTGTGCCCCCCAACCCCAGTCCTGACCCCTCTCCCTGTGACCCCTCATCCTGGCCCCGACCCCTATCCCTGTGTCCCCATCCCCATCCTGACCTCTCTCCCTGTGTCCCCATCCATCCTGAGTCCTCTCCATGTGCCCCGCCATCCCGGCCCCGACCTCTCTCCCTGTGCTCCCCCATCCCAGCCCTGACCACTCTGGGTGTCACTGTCTGTCTCCCCTACTGGACCGGGAGCTCTGTGAGACCAGGCCCTGGGGCTGTCTTGGTCACTGTTGTGTCCCCAGCATTGCTAGTCCAGGACCACCCATGTATGTGAGCTCACTCCGTGTCACCGAGTGCCTGCATGAGGCATTCAAGGCGGCTGTACCTGCCCTCCCTCCCCAGCCCGCCCTGGCTCTGGGTCTCACATGCATCTCTGGTGCACAGCGTCCGAGCAGGTCGATCAAGGCAGCATAGAAGGACATGATGGCGTGTCCCAGGTGCACCCGGTTTTCTTCAGGTGGTTCCTCACCGAAGCTGCAGGGAAGGTGGGTGGGTGGGTGGGGGAGGCAGCTAGGGGCCTGGGAGGGCGGGTTGCCCTATTGAGGAGGGGGCCGGGACACTCACTGCTCGCGCCGCCGGTCCCTGCGGATGCCTGGGCCATCCCTCGCAGGGTCCTCGGAGATGCGGATGGCCTCTTCGATGGCAGCCAGCAGCCCTGAGCCACCCTCACCCCGCAGGGCGGGTCCGAAGCACTCAGGCTTCCGGATGAGCAGCCGCACCACCACGTTGGCGTTCTCCTCCACGCTCTCGCCTGGCCACCCGTGTGGGGACAGGGGGTCTCAATGAGCCACCACCAGATACCTCCCCATGCAGCCCCGGGACTCAACACCTCCAGGGGTAACACAGGTCCCATCCAGCCCCAGGACCCAACACTTCCAGAGGTAACACCAGCCCCTGCCAGCCCCAGGACCCAACAACTCTAGGGGTAACACCAGGTCCCTGCCAGCCCCACAACCCAATATCTCCAGGGGTAACACCAGGCTCCCGCCAGCCCCAGGACCCAACACTGCCAGCCCCAGGACCCAATACGTCCAGAGAGGTAACGCAGGCCCCTGCCAGCCCCAGGACCCAACACCTCCAGGGGTAACACAGGCCCCTGCCAGCCCCAGGCCTGCTTGAAGGGATCCCTGTCTGGACCCCACCTGTGGCTCAGGGCGTGAGCAGTCATCCCAAGGGAGGTGTGACCAGTGACTCCATACTTCCCCCGCAGCCACTGCCACCCCCTCCTCACCGTTTACGAAGACAGCGAAGCGCAGGAAGTCCAGGTAGCGCTCTCCACCGCAGGGGTTCCAGCCAATATCTGGGTATCCCTTGGCCACAAGCATGGGGCAGCTTTGGAGGCCACAGCCTGCCAGGTAGGACACGACCTGGGGACAGGAGGGGCTCAGTCAGAGACCAGACCCACGCCACCATCCTCCTGGGGCCCAGCCCTCTGCCCTGCCTTGCCCTGCGGCTCCTCAGTCTGGTTCAGCTCTGATCCCTTGGCCAATTAGCCCTGGTCCTGTCAGAGGCCTGTAAACTAGAGCAACTCCATCTTGAACAGGAGCAGAGTAAAATGAGGCTGAGACCTACTGCGCTGCATTCCCAGACGGTTAAGGCATTCTAAGTCACAGAATGAGATAGAAGGTTGGCACAAGATACAGGTCATAAAGACCTTACTGATAAAACAGTTGCAGTACAGAAGCCAGCCAAAACCCACCAAAACCAAGATGGCGAAGAGAGTGACCTCTGGCCGTCCTCACTGCTACACTCCCACCAGCGCCATGAGAGTTTACAAATGTCATGGCAATGTCAGGAAGTTATCCTACATGGTCTAGAAAGGGGAGGCACGAATAATCCACCCCTTGTTTAGCATATCATCAAGAAATAACATAAAAAATGGGCAACCAGCAGCCCTTGGGGCTGCTCTGTCTGTGGATTAGCCATTCTTTTATTCCTTTACTTTCCTAATAAACTTGCTTTCACTTTACTCTGTGGACTCGCCCTGAATTCTTTCTTGTGTGAGATCTAAGAACCTTCTCTTTGGGCCTGGATCCAGACCCCTTTCCTGTAGTGGTCCTGTCTGCCCTCGTCTCCCATCTGGACCACGACACCAGCCTCCTCCCTGTGCTTCTGTCCTTCTGCCTTCCCTTCGATCTGTTTCCCACACACAGCCAGAGGGACTCTGTGAACACCTGAGTCAGGTCACGTCCCTCCTCTGCTCAGAACCCTGGCCTCCTCTCACTCAGGGTAAAAGCCAGAGCCCTTGTTGTGACCCATGAGATGCCTCATGACCCATCTGTCACCTCCTGCCCTCACCCCCACTGCCTCTGCCCCAGCCACAGCTGTCTCTCTGCTGTTCCTCCAACTCACGAGGTTCGCTCCTGCCTCAGGGCCTTTGCACTGGCTGTTCCCACTGCCAAGAATGCTCTTCCCCATGATGTCCACCTGACCCGTCACCTTCCTTCAGAGCTTTGCACAAATGTCACTTTCTCAATGAGGCTTTCTCTGGCCACTTTTTTTTTTTAAGGGTTCTCGCTCTGTCCCTCAGGTGAAGTGCAGTGGTGCGATCATAGCTCACTGCAGCCTCAGCCTCGCAGGCTCTATCAAATCCTTCCACCTTAGCCTCCTGAGTAACTGGGACTACAGGTACGTGCCACTACACCCACCTAATTTTTGTATTTTTTTGTAGATACAAGGTCTCCCTATATTGGCCAGGCTGGTCTTAAAATCCTGAGCTCAAGTGATCCTCCTGCCTCGGCCTCCCAAAGTACTGGGATTACAGACACGAGCCACTTTGCCTGGCCGGACAGTGATTTTTGACTGTCATATTACTATTGCTTTGCACAGGTCCTACCATATGGTAAGTGAATGCTACATATTTGTTGAATGATCATATAACAGCAGCTGACTAATATAACACCACTGACTGCCTCTTTACAAACGCTTTCCTGGATTAAGTCATTTAATCCTCAGAATGACTCCATGAAGTCGTTTCTATGACTACATTCATTGTACAAAATAAAGCAACAGAGGTCTGGAGACTCTAAGTCACTTATCCAAGGCCACACAGCCAGGGAGCGAGGAGAGCAGAAGCAAAGTTGCTGAACTCTGGAGCCCATGCATTGCACCACTATACACAGAAGTGCAAGCTCAGAGAGCCAAGAAATGTGCCAAGGCTACCTAGCTGGAAGCCTAGACTGCGGACCTGCCCCCAGCCCGGAAGCATAGACTGTGGATCCGCCCCCAGCAGGGAAGCTAGAGTGCAGATGGGCTCCCAGCCCAGAAGCGTAGACTGCAGACCTGCCCCAAGCTGGAAGCGTGGAGTGCAGACCTGCCCACAGCCAGGAAGCATCCCATGAATGAGCAACTGGGTGCCGTTCTCTCCCTGCAAATTAGTCTCCTGGTTGGGCACACCATCCAGAATTGCCCCCCAGAATGAGTTCAGAATCAGTAGGTGTCCCAAGGAGCCGGGTAGCGGCCCGATCTCCTCCCTTAGGCCCGGAGCCCAGCCCTGCCCTCCATACCTTTTCCAGGTCCTGCTCCTGCAACGCCAAGGCCAGCTCATTGTTGTCAATGACGGAGGCAGCAGCCACGTCCAGGGGCGTGGAGCCCTGCATGCCTGCAGGGGCAAGAGGTGGGAAGAACATCTCACTCCTGCTTGTCTCACCTCCTCTGGGAAGCCCTCCCTGACCACCCTTTATCCAGCCTGGATCAGGTACCTCCTCTGGTCTGTACTTCCCTCATCCAAGCTCTGACCACTCTGGGCTGTCACTACTGGGGTCACTATTGTGTCCCTGGCATTACTCGTTACGGGGCCAGAGCCACAGTTGAGAGGGAGTGTTTACTGAATGACTGAGTGAGTGAGCTGGTGGAAAGTGGGGCAGGCGTGGATAGGGTGCCAGGAGTGGGTTCTGGGGGACAGTCCCTGGGCTCAGGGGTTCTCACTCAGGCCGATGCCACTGTTCTCCAGCAGGTAGCTCAGGTGGTCAAACATGGAGCGCTGGTTCTGCCGGCTGATGCGGCAGAAATAGCAGAGGAAGCGGCAGCAGCTTGTCACCATCTTGGGGAAGCGGATCTCCTGGGACAGGCAGGGTGGGCCGGTGGTCAGGGCCTGCCCTCTGTGGCCGCCTCCCCTGAGCTCCCCAGTGTTCGCCTGGGCCCTCACCTTGGACTCGCCGCCCCCGAGGACGTTGACCATGACCTCCATGACCGTCTCGTGCATGCCCAGCGCCCTCATCAGGTTCGGGTGTTGGTAGAAGACTTTGTTGTTCATGATGTTCCTGTGCACAGGCAGAGTGCGCGGGGTCACCAGGGCCCGGGTGGGGCTCAAGTCCAGAGAGGGCCACAGCCACCACTGTGACAGCAGCTGGTATTCTCGACCCTGTCCCTCTGTGCCTAGCACCACCCCCTTTACAGATCTGCAGTCACTCAATTGCTACAGCCGGCCAGGCGCAGTGGCTCACGCGTGTAATCCCAGCACTTTGGGAGGCCGAAGCTGGAGGATCACTTGAGGTCAGGAATTCGAGATCAGCCTGGCCAACATGGTGAAACCCCGTTTCTACTAAAAATACAAAAATTAGCCAGGTGTGGTGGCGCATACCCGTAATCCCAGCTACGTGGGAGGCTGAGGTGGGAGAATCGCTTGAACCTGGTAGGCGGAGGTTGCAGTGAGCAGACATTGCGCACTCCAGGTTGGGGAACAGAGCAAGACTCCATCTCAAAAAAAATAACAATAAAAAAATAAAAAACAATTCCTACAGCCACCGTGGGAGAAAGGGTCCTTGTTTCTCTCATAAGGAGACCGAGCTGTGCACCCAAGGCGGCTCCTCTAGAACAGAGATCTTTGCCATGTTGCCCTTTGTCAAATGCTGTCCCAGCAGAGTGGCTCACGCCTTGTAATTCCAGCCCTTTGGGAGGCCAAGGCAGGAGGATAACTTGAGCCCAGGAGTTCAAGACCAGCCCGGGCAACATAGCAAGACCCTGCCTCTACAAAAAAATTTACAAATTAGCTGGGCATGGTGATGTGTGTCTGTAGTCCCAGCTACTCAGGAGGTTGAGGCAGGAGGATCACTTGAGCACAGGAAGTTGAGGCTGCAGTGAGCTATGATTGGGCCACTGCACTCTAGCCTGGGCAACAGAGTGAGGCCCTGTCTCAAAAACACCTAGAAAGGGCCTGGCATGCAGTAGGTGCTTAATAAATGTTTACTGTGTGAATGAGATATATTTGACACTGAGTGCTCACTACTACTACCATGATTATTATTATTCGCACAAGCTCACGGAAGCCACAGCACAACTCTTCAGAGCAGGCTTGGCTCTCCCCCATTTTACAGCTGAGGAAACTGAAGCTCAAAAAGGGTAAACCTCAGCCGGGCGCCGTGGCTCAAGCCTCTAATCCCAGCACTTTGGGAGGCCGAGACGGGTAGATCACCTGAGGTTAGGAGTTCGAGACCAGCTTGATCAACATGGTGAAACCCTGTCTCTACTAATTATAAAAAATTAGCCAGGTGTGGTGGTGCGTGTCTGTAATCCCAGCTACTTGGAAGGCTGAGACAGGAGAATTGCTTGAACCTGGGAGGCGGAGGTTGCAGTGAGCTGAGATCATGCCACCACACTCCAGCCTGGGTGACAGAGTGAGACTCAGTCTCACAAAAAAAAAAAAAAAAAAAAAAAAAAGGGTAAACGTCCTGCTGAGAGTCACACAGTAAGTGGAGCTGCTGCTACCACTGAGGGTAGAGAGGTAAGGGAAGGAGACATTAACCAGGAGGTGGACTAGCCGCCTGAGACTGAGTAGATCACCCAGAGGATGGGCCAGAAGTTGGGGAAGGGAATGTGATTGTATCCTGAAGGCATTCGTTAGCCAAGGGGATATGCAAAGTAAGCAGGCAGGGTGGTGCCTCACCCGATGCTCTGGATCATGAGGTTCTCCTCCTGAGGGCCCATCTGCACGATGAGCAGGGAGCGGATCTGGCCGAGGCACTCAAGCAGGCTCATGGTGTCTTCCACCGAGGACGGTGAGATGGTGTACGCCCGTGGCAGGGCACGCAGCAGCTCACCCAGCCCGTCGTACTGCCGGTGCAGGAGGCTGAACATGGCCCGCACCAGCTCGGGGCTCTGCACGAAGTCCTCTTGGGCCCAGCGCACCACCATGTGGGACACCAGTTCCTGCAGGGACCCTGGGAAGGAGACAATACAAGGCTTGGAGCACCACGCAGGGCAGGTCAGCACGCGGGGCCATGGACCACAACAATGTGGAAGGGGTCCCCTGTTCCAGAAGCTTTCCCAGTTACTACCACCCCTGCCCTCCAGCTGCCGGGTGCAGGCAGATTCTAGCAGAGTGTTTTCCCTTTTTTCTTTTAGAGACAGTGTCTTGCGCTGTTGCCCTGACTGGGGTGCAGTGGTGCGATCACAGCTCAGTGCAGCCTCGAACTCCCTGGCTCAAGTGATCCTCCTACTCTGGCCTCCCAAAGGGCTAGGATTATAGGTGTGAGCCACTGTGCCCAGCCTGGCAAACTTTTTTCTATTCCCCCAAGAATCTCTCTGTTCTGTTTGCCCGAATATCCAGCCCACAAGGGCTTCCTAAAAATTTCAACAGGAATAATAAACTGTACAACTACAAGATACCAGAGCCAACCGGAAGCACTTCGCCATGCACCTTTGAAGGCACATGTCACAATCCCACTTGTTCTATAAAAATACTGTGGATTTGGCAGGGCGTGGTGGCTCACACCCGTAATCCCTGCACTTTGGGAGGCTGAGGTGGGTGAATCACCTGAGGTCAGGAGCTCGAGACCAGCCTGGCCAACATGGTGAAGCCCCGTCACTACTAAAAATACAAAAATTAGCCAGGCATGGTGCTGCGTGCCTGTAATCCCAGCTACTCGGGAGGCTGAGACAGGAGAATTGCTTGAACCTAGGAGGCAGAGGTTGCAGTGAGCCAAGATCGCGCCACTGCACTCTAGCCTGGGCGACACAGCGAGACCCTGTCTCAAAAAATAATAATAATAATAATTTTTTTTTTTTTTTTGAGACGGAGTCTCGCTCTGTCGCCCAGGCTGGAGTGCAGTGGCCGGATCTCAGCTCACTGCAAGCTCTGCCTCCCGGGTTCACGCTAGTCTCCTGCCTCAGCCTCCCAAGTAGCTGGGACTACAGGCGCCGCCACCACGCCCGGCTACTTTTTTGTATTCTTTTAGTAGAGATGGGGTTTCACCGTGTTAGCCAGGATGGTCTCGATCTCCTGACCTCGTGATCCGCCCGTCTCGGCCTCCCAAAGTGCTGGGATTACAGGCTTGAGCCACCGCGCCCGGCCAATAATAATAATTTAAAAATCTAAACTCGCAGGCAGGGGCTTTGACTTTCTCCCCTCGGCTGTATTTCCCAGCCCTGGTAACAGTGCCTGGCCCAGAGTTGGCCCCATAAAAGTTTCCTGAATGTTGCGGGATAAAACCTGTACCAACGTCAGGAAATCTGTCCTTGTTAGATGTGGCTAATACACAGTTTGCAAAATAACACGTTGGCCCAACATTCATCACAGCTGCTTGTCTAATCCCTCAGCATGGTAATCGTCTCATCAAGAGAGAAAAGAGAAGCCGCAAGGCCACAGAAGCCACAGTGGTTCAGGTTGCCACCATCCCTTGGTTAGAGGTTTGCCACTAAGCTGGTAGGCTGTGTCACCCTGGTCCAACACACACGTTCTACAGCCCCCATCTTTGGAGGCAAACTCCAGCATGCCCTTTTTTTTTTAGACAGAGTCTTGCTCTGTCACCCAGGGTAGAGTGCAGTGGTGCAATCTGGGCTCACTGCAGCCCCCACCTCCTGGGTTCAAGCGATTCTCATGCCTCACCTCCAAGTAGCTGGGATTACAGCCGTGCACCTACCACCACGCCCGGTTAATTTTTGTATTTTTAGTAGAGAAGGGGGTTTCACCATGTTGGCCAGGCTGGCCTCGAACTCCTGACCTCAAGTGATCCACCTGTCTCAGCCTCCCAAATTGCTGGGATTACAAGCATGACCCACCATGCCTGCTTCCAGTTTGCCCACTGCTCTTCTTCTCTCACTCCTGCCTATCTTCCCCTCCCTTGCATCCATCGTCATGCCCTCATTGGGACACAGAGGCTCCCCAGGCATGGGGCTGCCCACCCCACCCCTGCCCTCTCCCCGGTGACCCCAGTCCTCACGGGGTTTGCTCTCCTCTGCTGACCGCTCCTCCTCAGGTTTCTCCTCCTTCTTCTTCACCAGCCGCACTTTCTCCAAAAGGCTCATGAGGCGGCTGCCCAGGGTGGTCTCTTCCTCCGGTTCCTCCTCCTCTCCATCCAGCTGAATTCCTGGAAGTGGTCAAGAAGCGGGGAAATGTCATTCACCAGTTTGCTTATTCACCTGCTCACACACTCGCTTCTTCATTTGTGCATATGTGCATGCATTCATGGAGTTCTTCATTTCCTTTTTTTTTTTTTTTTTTGAGACAGTGTCTTGCTCTGTTGCATTAGAGGGCAGTGGCATGATCTCACCTCACTATAACCTCTGCCTCCCAGGCTCAAGCCATACTCCTACCTCAGCCTCCTGAGTAGCTGGGACTACAGGTGTGTGCCACCATGCCCTGTTAATTTTGTATCTTTTGCTGTAGAGATGGGGGTCTTGCCATGTTGCCCAGGCTGGTTTTGAACTCCTGAGCTCAAGCAATCCTCCCCCTCAGCCTCCCAAAATGCCAGGATTACAGGCATGAGCCACCACCCCGGCCTCATTTACTTCTTTGTATGTTCATGTCTTTGTTCATGTATTCATTCTATGAAACATTTATCTTTTAAATCAATTTTACAAATATGTTCAAAGAACTAAAGGAAACTATGTCTGAAGAATTAAAAGGAAATATGGGCCGGGCGTGGTGGCTCAAGCCTGTAATCCCAGTACTTTGGGAGCCTGAGACGGGAGGATCACGAGGTCAGGAGATTGAGACCATCCTGGCTAACATGGTGAAACCCCGTCTCTACTGAAAAATACAAAAAACTAGC